ACCCTGTCTGAAAGGAAGTAACGCTAGAGTAGACTCGCGAAAAGTGTATAAGACACTTTTAAGATCAACTAAATAGCTAAGCCCAAGGGAAGTCGTTCGGGGAGGCCCTCCCTAATTCCACAAGGGTGAGAAGAAACACACACGATAACGAAACGTTGAATCATGTAGAACTCGTAGGGTAAATGCAAAGCAATTTATAGTAAGAATATGCAGTAAGCTAAGCGAAGAGGTAAGCAAGAGACATATTAGACTATACTACAACTACTCAACGGATTAGTAAGTATTACTACTACACTACTACTATTTTAAAAAAATAAAAACATCTACAATCAAAAATTAATTCAAATAAAATGAAGCATGCAAAATAAAAACTAATTCAAATTAACTACATAAAACATGCAAAATAAAAAATTAATTTGAATAAAATCAACTTAATGAATTCTACTATATAGACCATGCAAGACAAAAGAACTATTTCAACTATGGGGTCATCTTTGTCTTCTCCAACGTCGATCTGAAACAGATACGGTGGTAACAGATTAATAATGAGCAATTAAAGTTAATTATATCAAGTATTCTCACCTTAATTAACTGTAACATTCCAAAGTTTGCATGTGTGAAAAGCAAACCAAATCCAGAAGGAATATCATAGCAGAAAATTTGTTGTTTTAGTGGAACTCCAATAAATCTCCAGTTGTTCTCACTAGTCAGTTGAAAAATGTTGCAAGGCGAAGACAAAATCAGCAAATCAAGAATATAGTCCATGAAAGACCACACCCCAGTAGACATTAGTTGTTTCAGTAGGACCAAACTGCATTGTAATTCTCTCGTTTGTTAGGCAATCTGCAGAAATTAACAAAAAACATATTAATTACACTATTAATTGAGGAAGGCACTAACACAACTAAAAATATGTAGCAAAAAGAAAGTAAAGTATCTGAATTATAAAACTGTCAATTTACATAAATGACAATCATAGATGAATGACATCAATTTAAGGTGTGGACTATAGATATTTGTTAAGGGCAAAACCACAGATGCACAACATCTTCCGGAACAATAGATAATTGTTAAAATGCCATAGATTCACTTTAATCTCAATTCATGCTGTTGGAAAAAATTATTAAGAAATGCAATAAATTATGAGCAATTAATATTATGTCATGCATTCTCACCTTAATCAACTGTAGCCAAATCCACGAGGGCTACCACGGCAGACAAATCTGTTGTTTTAGCAGTTTCCAAATTAATTTCCAGTTACTTCTCTCTCACATGCTTAAAATTAACTGCATTATGTGAAGACTTTAAAAGCACTGGTGGTTTCAGTAACATCAAAATTAATTGTAACTCCATCTCATTTGTTGGGCAGTCTATAGAGACGGACAAGAAAATATAATTTAGTTAGGCATATAACTTTCATACTGTTGGAAAGGTTAATTCCTCATTAATTCTGCTGTTCAGTTTCCATCATTTTTGAAAAACTGTTTAAAAGTAGTCTACTGGAAGTATGTTACAAATATCTAAGAAATTGAAGTTTCTGGGATCTCATTTACTCTTTTAAACTGATACTGTTACTTACCAGTTCATTGGTTTATTGTAATAAATCTTCCCTTTAGCAATAGCACACTACCTCCATTTTCAATGAAAAAAAAAGGCACTTCATGTTTGCTACAGCACCATATGTACACATATGCTCTGGAGTGAATGATGACTTGATGACTGATATAATCACTACTTTAATGCCGTCCAGAGTTTTTACAATGTTTCTGTAAAATGAAATCTTGTCAAGCAGTATTCAGATATAATGCATTTAATCTCCGTATCTGCAGATACAATTACAGCATGTAGCTCACCTTAATTAACTACAACTCCTCCACGATGAAAAGTTAACAGCTACAACACCGTAGTAGACGTTCTTTTCGATAGCAACAAAATGATCTCTTCGACTATTATTTATCGTCAATCTGTAAAAATGGAGAAGAAAAACAAGTAAATTACACTATTAAATAATTAAAACGCACTGAAAATCAAGAAAATTACAAAATTTGAAAATGGCGACGTTGCGTCGTTTTCAATACAAAATGGCAAGATGACAAGATTCTACATGTACAAACATCATAGATTCATATGGATTCATAATTGTGTCAATTTATGCTGTCGACGTATAGATCATAGATAATAGGTATAGATAACTGTGATAGAAAAAACTAGAGCATAGATGAAAGAATCAGCAAATGTAGTGGCGCTATAAAAGCCAATTGACTTTTCTGAAAAAATTTGGATAAACTGAAGTTCTGTAATATATACAATTTTAACAAAATAGGGGGTAGTTCGACATTATATTATAAAAAGAAGTAATTCATTCTCAATTTCTTTTCTACTATAGGTTATCGTAAATTAATGAGAAAAATTTTTGTTACTGTTGAAAAACTGAAACAATTATACCTACTTCGCTTTTTTTTTCTAATTTTGCTATGTATTACCTCTTATCTCATTAGTAGCAGAATTTAACGTCTCGAATTTACATATGTGAAACTTCGTTCCATCTCTTTCTTTTGTACCACAATTCTGACCGCTAAGGCATGTCCATTACTAAAAGTCGATGGTATATACAATGGGTATATATCGCTATTTGTCTATGTTGCCCATAGATAATAAGTCTTTATCATCTATATCAAAAAATAAAATATAAATACATTTTTAAAAAAAAAGAGATTGCTACAATTTGCATTTGTATTTCAATTGGAGACACTTCTAAAGTCTAAAATGACCATAGGTTAAGAAAAGACTAAATTATTTTGCATATTTTGAGTTGTGTGGTACCGGTGAGTACTCATAATCTTTTTTATTGTTATTTCCTTTCAATAAGTGATTTTTTCTTAAATTAAATGAATATTGTACACGTTAGTACTAAAGCTATTGTTATTTATAGTAAATCGAACTGAGTATTTACCCACATTATTTTTTTTATATCGTTTGTTTTCTTTTTGTGTTGCAGTTTTCATTTCGATACACTTCTATTACTTTTTGTAGCCAACATAAAGAGTAAATGTGCTTTTGATAAGTAATCAGTAATCACATAAAATGAGAAACAGAAGTGAGCAAAAACATGTTACATTTGAGCCTTTAACTATGGAATTTGAAGAGAGAAGTAATGAAGAATATAAAGGGAATATACCTTCATCAAGTATTCACAGCATATCACCTTTGTTTGTTGTTTTCTTTGTAATTTTATTACTGGGCTTGTTTGGATTGTCTCTTCTCTTAGACAGCATATTACCAGTTCCATTAAAAAGTGCTGACAAGGTTTTGATTTTTTCAGTCTTACAGTGTATAGTAACATGAAAATGAATGTTTTTGTAGGAGAAGTACTCTGAAAAGTTTATTGCTGAAGAAGCTAGAAATTATTTAAAAGGCTTAACAGATTTTGGCCCTAGGGTTGTGGGTAGTTATGAAAATGAATTATTGGCTGTTCAATATTTGAAAAAACAAATTAACGACATTGTGATCAATGCACATTCTAACAAAAAAATTAAAGTCGATTTACAAACAGTTTCAGGATCATACTATCTCGATTATGCCCCCTATGGTATAGTGAATGCATATGGAAATGTTCAAAATTTGATTGTTAAATTGTCTTCCATAAACAATAACAAAAATAAAAGTATTTTGATAAATGCTCATTTTGATTCTGTACCTACAAGTCCAGGTGAGCTTTTCTTTTTATTTTTAAATATTGTTTTGTATAATTTGCATATAGGTAAATAAACTTCAGGGGGTAGCGATGATGGTATTAATTGTGCAACAATGTTGGAAGTTCTGCGAGTGCTTTCCAGGTCAGCAGACGATTTTGAACATGATATAATTTTTCTTTTTAATGGGGCAGAAGAGTCTTTTTTGCAAGCGTCTCATGGCTTTATTACTCAACATAATTGGGCTGGAAATTGTAAAGTAGTCATTAATTTAGAAGCTGCAGGGGCAGGTGGTAAAATAATTCTATTTCAAACTGGTCCAGGGCAGCCCTGGTTGGTGCACAAGTTCAGCAAAGTTCCACATCCTGCAGGACAAGTGACAGGGGAAGAAATATTTCAAAATAATTTAATTCCTTCAGATACAGACTTTAGAGTGTTTAGAGATTTTGGTGGGGTTGTTGGTAAGCTTATTACAGATTATGTAATATTTATAAACATCTATTTTGAGTTTGTATGTAGGCTATGATATGGCATTTGTAAGAAGTGGATACAGGTATCACACCAAGTATGATGGTTTTGATAACATTCCACTTGGGTCATTTCAACATGTTGGTGATAATGTGCTGTCATTAATTAAAAATTTGGTAAACACTACTGAAATTGATAATTTAGAATCCCAGGATCAAACTAAAGTAGTTTATTACGATTTTTTTGGTCTTTTTATGATTGTCTACACAATAAACGTAGCAACTTTATTAAACTACTCAACTGCTCTTTTATGTGTCATAGTTGCCTTCAGATGCTTTTTTACTTTGGGACTGCGTGAGTTTTATTTACTTTTGCCACTTGAACATATTATAGTAAATTAACTTCATTATATTATAAACTTAAAATATTCAGGACTCAATAAAGAAGACTTATTATATATTTTGATAACCAAAATGGGGATCATTGTGGGATGGTTACTTGCAATAGGATTTACTGTAATTTTGGGAATTCTACTTGATTATTTGGGTTACACTATGAGTTGGTATAGAAATCCCTGGATTATACTAGGTCTTTATGTAGTACCCATTTGGGGTCTATGTTGTGGAGTTATAATAATTGCAAACAAATACTCATTTAAAGTAAGTACCTTTTTGAAATGATGTAATCAATGCTATAACAAAGTTATATTATATTTTAGGAAAATAATTCAATTGCAGCACATACTCAAGTTCAGTTAAGTTGTGTAAGATTGATATGGTGTGTGCCTCTTGTGATTGGTACCTTTTTTAATATTAGGGCTTCGCATATAATCCAAATACCTTTGGTTTTTAATAGTTTAGTTTTTGCTGTTATACATTTTTCTAAACTTCAGTACTCTGGTAAGTGTCTTTGTTATATTTTGTAAGTAATTAATGATACATGTGAATTTTTGTTTCAACAAATTTTATCGAGAGATTACTCTACATATGTACAATCTGTTATGCCATACCTTTTTCAAGCGTAATATGCTACTAATTTTATTTCTGTTATCGTAATTGTAAATATATTATATTTAGTTAGGACTTGGCAATTTTTACACCTGATAAGCACTCTAATTCCTGTCTGCTATTTAATGTACACGAGTGTGATTTTAATGACCTTTGTCATTCCTATTACTGGAAGGTTTGGTAGTAATAAAAATCCGGAACTGTTTGTTGGTTTCGCAACTCTAATTCTTTCCGTTTTAATAAGTAGTTTGTTTGTAAGTTTAAATTATTTAAAATTAATTAAAATAACATTGATTTTTATATGTAGGTCCCTTTGATAACCCTTGTTAGAAGTCCATTAAAAGTATTTTATGGGTTTTTAATTACCTTTTTGGCATTTTTTGGACTTGTTTTTACTCCTCTGGGATTCCCATACAGTGGAGATTTTTCTTCTCCAGCCCCTCAACGTTTTTGGATACAAGTACAATAACATTATTGCGGTGTTAATGTAATCAAAACATTTTTTTTTTGTAGCATACTGGAAGAGCATTTTATAACATAAACGGAACCGTTTATAAACAAGATGCTGGATATTTTATCGTAAATTTGGACAGAAATTCTCCAAGAAGTGTTGAAAATTTTGTGGAAGATGTCAAAAAAGCTCAAAGTGTTAACACTTTGTCTGATAGCGAATTATTTTATGGAATGCCCATATTACACCCACGAGCTATTGAAGTATTGTGTGTTAAAGAAACGATGTACGATATTTTCGATTCTAATATTTTTTGTTGCTCTTTTAGAAGTAAAAGTAGCTGGATTTCCGCTGAACAGCCAATAATTCAAGAAGATGTGCAACTAATCATACAAAACAAAGAAAACATAAGTCCAACATTAGTAATGCTCAATTTTTCTGCTTCAGGTATGCATATTATTGTTAAATCATTAACTGTTTTGTAACATAAATAATTTTGAATTCCAGGACCAACTCACATGACTATCTACTTTGCTTTACAATTGGGGGTGGCGTTAAAAAATATTAGTTTGTCTTCAGAAATAAAAGAGGGACCTAAATGGAAGAACCAGACGACTTATTTCATAAATTATGCTTGGGGGATTGAGAAAAGGCCTTTAAATTTTTCTATGCATCTCCAAGTACCCCAAAACTGGAAGCATTCGATTTTAGATATTGCAGTTTTGGGAAGATATGTCCACGAGGTCAATAACGTTAAAACACCTCACTTTAAACAATTTCTGGAAGAATTTCCAGATTGGGCTGATCTCACACCATTTTTGGCATCTTTCAAAATGTGGAAATTTTAATGATTTGGCTTTGTGATTAAGAATAAAATATTATTAATACGTTGTGTTTCTTATAAATGCTATTAATTTGCAACAATAAATGTATTATTGAACAAATTGTATTTTATTTAAATAAAATAAATAATAAAATTGCTAAATAAACCTCATTTTGATATAAACAGCGTTTTACTTATTAAATATAACACTAAGACATCTTTTGAGAAATT